TACCAATTTAAAATATTTAAAAGCTATATAATAACATGTGAGGTAGAGTATATACCTAAGAAATTGATTTTTATAGTATCTTTTGTGTATGCTTTTAACACAAGAGAGGAAAGGAAGGCATTATGGTTGACATTAAAAGACATACACAGATCTAACAGGAAGCCATGGTTATTAATGGGAGATTTTAATTCAATACTTCATGCGGAGGATAGGATAGGTGGGAATCCTGTGTCTTTGGTAGAGGTGGTGGATTTTGCAGAATGTGTAGATGAGTGTGGGCTGATTGAATTACCTCATCAAGGAAACAAATACACTTGGAGTGACAAGGGCAGTGATGAGAGGGTATATTCAAAAATTGACTGGGCTCTAATTAATGATGAATGGCTGGTTACCATGCCATCAAGCAAGACTACGTTCTTATCTGAAGGCATTAGTGACCATTGTCCAATCAAACTAAGCCTTACAGAGGAGAGGTTTAGGAAACAAACTTCATTTCTACACTGCAATGCATGGGGAAAAATGGTACAGTTCAAAGATCTTGTGAAGGAAGGCTGGGGAATGAACATCCAAGGATGCAAAATGTTGCAAGTTGTGAGGAAACTGAAGCTGTTGAAGAGGAGTTTGAAAAAACCAAATTCATTGCACTTTAGTAACATAGTTCAGGAGACAGGAAAGAGCAGAGAAGATTTAAAGCAGGCTCAACAAAAGCTCCAGCTCCAGCCTATGAATATCGAGTTTCAAATAGAGGAGAAGGAGAAGTACATACAGTTCAAGCACATTTCTTATTTGGCTGAGATTTATCTGCAACAACAAAGTAAAGTGACCTGGTTGAAACTAGGGGATGATAATTCAAGATATTTCTATTCTGTAATAAAACATAGAAGATTGAAGTTAGCAACTACACGACTGAAGGATGAAAATGGAGACTGGAAGACTGATCAAGGTGAGATAGCACATATTTTTGTTGACTATTACAATAAGCTCTTAGGTACAAAAACAGTATGCAGGGTGAAAATAAGTGAGGAAGTACTACAAAATGGTCTTAAGTTAGGCATGGAGCATCAATTACAACTTCTGGAGACGTTCACAGGGGATGATGTGAAAAAGGCCATGATGAAGATAGACCAAACAAAGAGCCCAGGCCCTGATGGTTATGGCAGTGGATTTTACAAGGAGGCTTGGGAGATAGTTGGGGCAGACATAGTTGAAGCTGTTCTGGAGTTTTTTCAGAATGGGAAACTACTGAAGCAAATTAATGCAACTAATATTGCACTTATCCCTAAGGTGGATGTACCAGAACAAGCCAGCCAGTTCAGACCCATAGCTTGCTGCAATGCTCTTTATAAATGCATTTCAAAGATGATTTGTACAAGATTAAAAGCTGTTGTGAGTTACTTAGTTGCTGAAAATCAAGCTGCATTTGTCCAAGGAAGATCCATGGTACATAACATACTGATTTGTCATGATTTGCTTAGACACTATAACAGGAAGACCACTCCTAGGTGTTTGATGAAAATAGACCTTAGAAAGGCCTACGACATGGTGAGCTGGGAATTCTTGGAGGAAGCTTTAAATGGATTTGGTTTTCCAACTAAATTCATCCAGTGGATAATGATATGTGTATCTACTCCAAAATTCACTGTCAAACTTAATGGGGAGGGCTATGGATATTTTGAAGGCAAAAGAGGGTTGAGGCAAGGAGACCCTATGTCCCCTTTGCTATTTGTGTTGATCATGGAGTACCTTACAAGGTTACTTAAGACCATGGCTTGTCTACAGGAGTTCAAATTCCATCCTATGTGTAAAGGCCAAAAATTGACTTATCTTATATTTGCTGATGACCTGATGATTTTTTGTAAAGGAGAACCAAATTCTGTCAAAAGAGTCATGGAAGCTTTGACTCATTTTAGTGGTACTACTGACTTGTGGCAAACATGGAGAAGTCAAACTTGTTCCTAGCAGGAATGACTGAAGAAACTGAAAAGCAACTGTTGAGTATAACTGGATTTACAAAAGGTGCTTTCCCTATAAGGTACTTGGGTCTCCCACTCACTTCAAAGAGATGGAGTAAAATGGAATGCCATAAACTTGTGGATAAACTTACAAGTAGGATTAAAAACACTTATGCAGGGAGGCTTCAAATTGTGTTGGCTGTGCTATTTTCCATTCACAGTTTTTGGGGTTCAGTATTTATACTTCCTCAAAGTGTAGTAAAGGAGGTGGACAAGAAATGTAGGGACTATATGTGGGGGAGAAGTGGTGAAAAAAAGAAAGTTTCATTGGTGTCTTGGGAAAAGGTATGCTGTCCAAAAAGACAAGGAGGTCTTAATATAAAAGGGTGTGGGAAATGGAATGTTGCATCTGTAGGCAAGCTGGTATGGCAAATAGTTGTAAATAAAGAATCTCTATGGGTGAAATGGGTGCATGGGGTGTATATCAAAGCAAGAACTGTTTAGAATCATAAAGCCCCAACTGACAGCAGTTGGTATTGGAGGAAAATAACAGCACTAAAGGACCAAATGCAGCATTGGTATACAAATGGAAAATTCAATCTCACAACTAGTAGAGAATACTCAATAACCAGGGGGTATCATGCAATACTGGGCCAAAGAGAAAAAATGGAAAATGCAGAGTTAATCTGGAACTCTGTATCACTACCAAAACAGAGATTTACTATGTGGTTAGCAACACAAAAAAGACTGCTCACGAAAGAAAGGTTATTGAACATGAAGATACAAGTGGATGACAGTAAATGTTGCTTATGCCAAGATACAGTGATGGAAACTAATAAACACTTGTTTGTAGACTGTGAATATGCTACAAAGGTGAGAGATGCATTGCTATGTTGGTCAAAAATCAACCTGCCTGCAAGAGAGTTGAACAACATATTGGAACTGATAAAGAAGAAACATTGGAAGAAATTCAAAAAGGAAGTGGTGGCAGCACTGTGGGGGGCTATGGTATACCATATTTGGAAAGCAAGAAACTGGAAACAGTTTAAAGGAGTCAGCTTACAATATTCTGACATAGTAAAGGAAATCACTCGTGAAATAGTGGGAAGGATAGACATGTATAAAGATTCAAAAAGAGCTATTAGAAGTAGAAGTTTTTGGCAGAATTTATGTACCTAGAATTAGTTTTGTTTTAGTTTGAGACCTTGTACGCACTCACTCCTTAGCAGGGGTAAGGAGGAATGGTGCTTTTAGCTTGTAAGTGGCTTTTTTGTTAATAATAATATTTACCAAAAAAGTATTATAAATAATAATAATTAACAACTTAAAATATCTGAAAGACATTTTAAAAGGGTTAATTTTGTAATTTTATCCATATCACTAAATTAGGACAAAGTGACCAGTAATGTTAGTTATTTGAAAGTTACATCAAAATATTATAAATCACAATAATTAATAACTTAAAACATTTTTTTTAAAAAAATTAAATTTGGATGACTCTCCAAATTTTATTTGTGTGACATAAATTGAGACACAAAAATAACATATATTGGGTCCATTTTAATTTATTTGTCTTATTTTTTTTGGGTTTTTTATATTTAAAAAATGCGTAAAAATACTGTAAATCATGATAATTGACAACATTGTTTTATTTATAAAATATATTTTAGACTGGTTTTAAGAGTCGCCACTTAATTTTTCTCTATTATTTTCAAAAGACTAAAACAATAAATCTATTGAAAACTATTGAGGGGGTTTGAGGTTCCTATTAATATTCTAGGAAGGTTTTTAAGGCACCTAGAATATCCGCTAATGCGGTTATCCGATAATTAATTTATTTGGCTAAAATAATTTAACTCAATTTAAATTGCAAAATTGAATTGTTTTATAGTTAGAACTATTTTAAAGGGGAAAAGGAAGTACTTAAACATTATCTAAGTGAGCTAATTTTGCAAAGATTTATTCTTTAAGTCTTGTTAAGCGATGATTGATTCAGTTAAATTGTTAAAACAAAATAAGACGTCTTTCGGGGATTTGAACTTTTCCACCCTAAGATTAACAACAAATATCAACAGGTAAGCAAACATAATTAAGATGAAGAGGGAAAGAGATTTGGGCCCAAATCTGGTTTTCCTATCCGCCTGGGCCAGTATTTGGGCCCATTTTCGTTTGGACTTTTGGCCCATTTGAGTCATTTATACCTGTCATATTCTAACATAATAGAAATATTTCTATTTGGGCCTTAGGCTCGATCCTTCCATCTGTCCTAAACTAACACAATAATAGCAATTAAAGGGATAAGGGCTTAGGCCCAAAATAACAAAATACAATTATTATTTTTTTTGGAATTTTGGAGGCCTTTGGGCCCACTTCTTGATTTTCGTATACACTAGGTGTATACAATCCCGAATCCGCTCCAATTCCTGTTCATCAATTTTTGATTGGCTGACTCGATAAAGGAAATTTGAGCCTTTACGGCTCTCCCGAAAT